AAGACGTTTCATCAACACCTTATTATCCCGTCGCGAATGGATTAGCGGAGGCGTTTAACAAGACGATCATCAAGATCTTGTCAAAGCTCGTGAAGACCAATAAACGAGACTGGGACGATAAACTCGGTGAAGCACTCTGGGCTTATCGCACCACCATACGCACTCCTACGGGAGCTACTCCGTACTCGTTAGTATATGGATGCGAAGCGGTGCTACCTTTGGAAATTCAAATTCCCTCCCTTCGGATCGCTCTCGCAACGGAGATGACGACCGAAGAACAACATCAGAAGCGTCTCGAAGAGCTCGAGAGGCTGGATGAAAAGCGTTTGGAGGCTCAACAACACATCGAGTTTTACCAAGCCAGGATGTCAAGGGCTTTTAACAAAAGAGTCCGACAGAGAAGCTTCAAGGAAGGAGATCTGGTCCTCGCTGCTCGCCGACCAATAATTCTCACCTCCAAGAAGAAAGGTAAATTCGAACCCAAATGGGAAGGACCGTTTGTAATAGACACAGTCTATTCAAACGGCGCATATCGCCTGATTACTCAAGAGGGCGCCAGGCAATTAATGCCAATAAATGGGAAGTTCCTGAAAAAGTACTATCCCTAGTACATTCAGGATAACTCATTTACCGGGAAGTTCCTCGAAGAATATTACACTTAATATTCTAGAGGATAACCCAAAATCATTGTCACCACCAAAATCCCTCACTGATCAATTTCAATTGACAGTGAGTCCACCAAAAATGTTTTTCTGGCCCTCTTGATTCTCTCCATGAGCAAGAGGTCCACTTTCAGTTCGGAGTCCCTTTTCGATAAACGAAAGAACTCCTTCCCTTTTTCTCTTTGGTTAAACCTTGTTCATGGTTATAACCGGAGTTGAAAATTCCACTTCGATAAACGAAGAACCCATTTTCAGTTTAGATAACTCATCCTATAAAAGGCAAGTTTATCTAAATTTTCCAGATTCTCGGAGTGGACACCCCACTTCTAGTTTCTTCCTCGCTGGAAATAGAATATAAAATTCTTCCTTTCCAGGATCAGGGAATAGAATATAAAATTCTTCCTTCCTTGTTTTCGGGTTCGCCTTCACCCTAAAAGAAGACCGGGAAATAGAATATAAAATTCTGCCTTTCCCGCATCGATCTTTTCCGAAATTTATCAATTTAGGATTCATCCTAGGAAGTTTATCCCGAATCCTAAGCAGGGATAAGTCTGCGCCTAACACGCGCTGCCGGTTTAGTCTTTTTCCGCACAAAAAGACACCAGAGTTCGATTCTGGGGTATTCTATCCTGAAACCTAAGCAAGGATAAGTCTGCGCTTAACCCGCGCTGCCGGTTAGTTCTTAACCGTTGAAAAGAACACTCGCCCGCATATTCAACATTGCGGCAGGCTGTTATTAATAACACCAAAATCCATGCCTTACACGCATGGGGAATTTCATCCTGAATCCTAAGAAAGGATATGCCGACGCCTAACACGCGTCGCCGGTTTAGTCTTTTTCCGAACAAAAAGACACCAGAGTCCGATTCTGGGGTATTTTATCCCGAAGCCTAAGTAGGGATAAAGTCAACACCTAACACGTGTTGCCGGGTAGCCTATTCCCGTAACAATGGCGAAGTCTATGTATTCGACATCATAGCACGAAGTCTAAGGGAGTTCATTCCCTTAGCACAACGTTACATGCGGAACGGATTCCGATAATCCGCATGCTAGCCCGACTCAAACGGTAGTCGGTAAAGGCTAATCAAACCCGTTGAAGGCTGGGGGTTAGCCAAAAATCCTAAAGTCAACACCTAACACGTGTCGCCGGGTAGCCTATTCCCGTAACAATGGCGAAGTCTATGTATTCGACATCATAGCACGAAGTCTAAGAGAATTCATTCTCTTAGCACAACGTTACATGCGAACGGAGTTAGACAATCCGCATGCTAGCCCGACTCAAACGGTAGTCGGTAAAGGCTAATCAAACCCGTTGAAGGCTGGGGGTTAGCCAAAAATCCTAAAGTCAACACCTAACACGTGTCGCCGGGTAGCCTATTCCCGTAACAATGGCGAAGTCTATGTATTCGACATCATAGCACGAAGTCTAAGGGAGTTCATTCCCTTAGCACAACGTTACATGCGGAACGGATTTAAATAATCCGCATGCTAGCCCGACTCAAACGGTAGTCGGTAAAGGCTAATCAAACCCGTTGAAGGCTGGGGGTTTGCCAAAAATCCTATGAGTATTATGGTCAACCATTTCAGACGGAATGAAGAATCATAATAAAGATAAAGATAAAAAAACCAGTTCCACTAAAAAGATCAAAGGTCAAAACATTCAGCAAATAAAGTCAAACCAAGTGCAGATACAAGGAGACGTTTCAAATCAGATCTAACAAACTGAAGGAAGCAATCGCAGCCTCAACAGCGGCAAGTTGCTCGACATGTTCCACTCGAACCCTCTCCTCTTCTTCCTTCTGAAGCTTGGTATAAGCAAGAATGGAGGCAGCATCGGCGGTTACGTCTTCTCGGCGCAACGTGTGAAGAATCTCCAGCTCTCCTCTATAAACATTTTGAACTCTAGTGCTCTCGAGCTCAAAATCTTTTAGAGTCCTCTCCCCTTGGACGGTCCTAATCCCTGTCCCCTCAGCAATGCTGTTATAAGCATCTATCTTACTCCGCAGACCACGTTGCCGTTCGTACAAGTTCGCAACGATGATTTCTTGCTCTGATATGCGTCTCACGCGGGCCTTACGCTCTCGCACCCTCTGAGTCTGAGCATCGATCATAAGTGGCGTGGCCTCAGCATACGGGTCGAAGTCTACTAGGTCTTCCAAATGATATATAAGTTCTTCTAAGCAAGTCAACCTTATCTCACATCGTCCAGCTAGCCGGATGCCGCCTACACGCTGAATGTCTTTAAGACTATCTGTTATGAAAGGGAGCAAATCATAATCTCTTCTCCGCCCAGAACTAATGTCGGTGAGCGTTTGTTGTATAACATTCTCTACTTTTTGGAGGATGTCCTGCAAGGATTCGGAGACCTGGAAGACAGATTCTTGGTCGGACGTAATTGCAGCAATGGGATCCTCTTCACTCTCATCGTCAGATATTAGGATGACTTCGGGACTCACAATTCTCCTATTACGGGAATTCAACCAAGGAAGTGGACCAGTGGCCTGCCTGAAGGAAGCCGCTGGAGGAGAGTATGCTGTGGGAACTTCTTCCTC